AAGCTACGTCTATTCTTCACAAGAGGCGTAAGAAAGAGAGATTACAAAAGAAAGATTACTTCCACGGAAGAGATTTGAGACTTCTATTGGCGATTGCCCAAATAAAAAATAAGTAGACCCTAGCGATTAGTCGAACTAAATCATCGCAGTTAAATATCACATTTCTATGGAGAAACTAATTCGAATGATACGTGGATCAATGATAATAATTAATCACATCAATTCAAACAGCAGCGTGAAATGATGTAGCGAAGAGTGTGATAACTTTGCACTTCATCCCTTTACATTTTAGAATGAGGTATTATCCAATCTACAGCCTCTTTTCTATAGTTCCACAAGTTCAGACCCCACTTTTTTTTTAGCTATGATATGCTAAACAACTCCCATATAGTTTAATCGCTTTAAATTTCTCCATATTGCCTATGTCACGAAGAAACATTAGACATTCATTAACCAAGAATTTAACCTTACCGTTGGTTGGAATTTAAAACAGTTTTCAGGAAAATATAGATTTATCAAGTCCACTAACTCTTATCGCTCTTTCTAGTAGTAATGAAAGTTTCCTTCCTAACCTTTTGTTTAATGTAGTGCGGAATGTCTACGTCTTGGTTATATCATTATTTTTCCATTGTAGTCACATGTACTATTTATTTTAATTGTGCTTATAGACTTGTATTATTTCGAATTATTGTTTTTAATTTGGTTGACGTTGTTGTTATTATAGACACATCGCTTCAACCAAGTACCCTCTGACCATCATCAGGTTTCCACTGATTGGCTGATATGGGATAATGGTTCATTACTTTAATATTTTGTTCTTGTGATATCAGTTATTTTTCATTCCTCTTAAATTAGCGCGTCGCTATCGGAACCAAGGATTGATACCCGTAACCATTAGATGACAGTAACACATGTATAACGAACACATATATTCATATATCTATAATAACAGCTATATCAACCAATATGAGAACAACAGTTCCAAATAACAGAGGTAATACATTTTGGGACAGTGGCGTAGTGGATAATGAGCAGTGGGTTCTTAGACGAAACGTTTTGTTTATAATAGCACCTGTATCAGCTCAGATGAGAATATTGACAATCTCAGATATGAAATATCATATAAGTTGTTTCTTTTGTTGGAATAGTTCAAGTGACCAGGTTTCAGTTATTGTTTTAAAGCACTTTGTTATTTTGTAGTTTGTATGGTATGAGGAAGAATTGTCTTCATTTTTTTTAAGCATTCAACCACAAGCAAGACGGGAAGCCACTAGCAAGCAAGGGGTTACAGAAAGTTGGAACGAGAACAAAGAGGAGTGATAGAGGAAAGGATGAAGAGAAGGATAGGGGATAGATCATGGCATCTGGAGACGTCGATTGACGTTACATTTGAATAGTTGGAGATTATAGGAAACAAGAAATGGGGAGGGAGTTCCACAGGCGAGAGATGCGAAACATGAAGCTATTGGGGTAAAAGAGACGGCTACATTTAACAGTTTCGACAGTGAAATCGTGAGAGCAAGATGCCAGCCTAGTTGAACGCTTAAATTCAGGAAGTCTGGGAACCAGCGAAAGCAGCTCATCGGAGCAGTTAGCGTGAAAGTATTTATAAAAAAGGCAGAGGGCCAATTACATTGCATATCCGTGTTTGGTTTTTATAAAAGACCTTGAGACAAACAGAAGGGGCACCAGACCATATATGGCAGCAATACTCCATGCAAAGGCGAATTTGGAATTAAATAATTTATTTGCTTAAAACATCTTTTAATCAATGATCTGAGAAAACTGTTATATATAAATTATAGTATATACATTTCCTAGGAGTATTGATGCTATGCATGACATCCGTGTGAGTGTCTTTAATCTGACGAAACTATTTAAGAACATGATTCGAAAAATCTTTTATTTTGTATGATCTTTCAGTTCTGACAAAAAGCAATTCTAGCGTAACATATTCTGTGTTCAACGTCTTTTTCGATTCTCCTATAACTGATCCAGAAAACAGTGAAATAGTATTAATAGTTGAAACCTCATTTAAATTATCCTGTATAATCAAGAAAATAATTTCGACATCAACATTACCAATATAGAACCCCCCCGTCGGCGGGAACAAAACCAGTGTCAGATACGTGCTGGATATAGATATCATCTGTTATGTCAAAGCCTACCTTGTAGGAATTACCATAGAAAAAATGATTCTCACCTCGAAGAATTAATCTATCACTTAAGCACCACTCGAACAGAAATCTGATATTACGTTTAGGTCGAAATACGACCTGATGCCTATTCATGGGTTGAAAACATCTGTTTCAACATGACTCAACGGAAGAAAAACAAGTAGAAATAGTTGTTTCTATCGAGTTCGTAGGTTGGTCGATTATCATTTTCGCCAAATTATATTAAGATCTATATGGGCAATATCAACTTACCTCTTACACTGACACGAATTCACCTAACATATTAAATAAAAAAAAAAGAAATACTTGTACATACGGTAGGCTTACGGCCATATCACGATGAAACACCGGTTCTCGTACGATTAGCGAAGTTAAGCCTAACCAGTAATTAGATGTGTGTCCACTTGGGAAAACCAAGTGTTGTAAGCTTGGATGTGCGGCTGTATAATGGATAACGGTTCTTGTTTTGAATTCTGAGAGACGAGTTCGAATTCTAGTCGGTTTCGTTATAGTAATTTATGCAGAAATGCCCTTGGGAAAGATATGAATACGCTTCTCTTTGAGCTAATTAGTAGAACTTGTATTTAAAAAGTCATTATTATTCCGGCCAAATGTTTAAAAGCCATGGTTAATACTTAAATAAAAGTCAGTTTGAGAATACTACGTGATGAAATTTTGGATATGCAAGCAGTGTAATTGAAAATTGCTTGGAATTGGGAGTCGATGGGCCAGTTCGCTTTTCCAGTCGGGGTCGTTACATTTCATTTGAATACGCACAAATATAATTGGGAAAGTTATCAGCCTAACTTTGCCTCCCTCCCAATCTATGAGTTAATCCCTATGAGTTCTATCGGTAAATCTATAATACCTCGAAAAAACTTCTTACAATCTCAAAATATTTTCTAACTTTAATTGACCTTCAAAAGGTTGATAGGACGTAAACAAATTAATTAATACCTCAAAAAAACTTCTTACAATCTCAAAATATTTTCTGACTTTAAATAACCCCACAAAAGGTTGATAGGCCGTAAAAAATTAATCAATCAATCAATCGGTATCTCCAAAAAATTCTTACAATCTCAAAATATTTTCTGACTTTAAATAACCCCACAAAAGGTTGATAGGCCGTAAAAAATTAATCAATGAATCAATTAATACCTCAAAAAATTTATTACAATCTGAAAATATCTTCTGACTTTAAATAACCTGCAAAAGGTTGATAATCCGTAAAAATAAATCAATCAGTATTGTTTTCATTAATTTCGGATTGTTGTCAATCACATTTTTTTTATTATCATTTTTCGCCCCAAACAAGTCAATATTACCGACTATGATACAAGTCGCTAGTGAGCGTGAAAGAAAGTGAGAAGACAATAAAGTATGTTATCCGATATTAATTGCAAAAATCACGGTTTAAACCGCATCTCATGTTTTCGAATGTAAAATCAAACATGTTAGAATTATGAACAGAATGAATGGAACTTTTTAAGTGTTTATTTTATATTACTTGATCTTATCACTATTATGCAGAAATATTTATAAAATTAAAATAATTGCCAGCAAATATTAGAAAATCTACTCTATTTATTTAATCCATAACTGTGGGAAAACTGATTGTTCAAGCCAGTGTTTGAATTTGAACCTTGATTAACATTTCCAATCTTTATTCAGTTAACAATTAAGCCACATACTCCTCCCGGAAAAAAAAAAACAATGTATGAATTGAAAACGAAAAAAGAAATGAACACGTTTAATTCTGCTTTCCTTAACATGATGGCTATGCATTTAGATTGTAATAGCTTTTCAGTTGAAGAAATATTTTGCAGCCTCGTTACATCAGCATTTCTCGATTTTGCCTTCAAGGAAAATAGAAGCGAAACACCATGAAACAAAATATAAACATGCCAAGCTATTCATTCTTAATGTCCAACGAAACGTGACATTATTTGCCAGGAGCCTACGTTACTTTGGAAATATTAATCATCATGTGTTCATGGTTTTTGGTAAGTTTTTTTCCTCTCCAGTAATACAATGAGCTCTAAAATTATATATACAATAAATTCTCGAGAGGATGAACTGATATGTGGAAAGATATGTGCGTTAATGTCGAAAATCCATTAAATCCAAATATAAACGACAGATTTACCATTTAAAGTAATTTAATAATAAAATATAATAAAATCTTTCATAAAAATATACAGTACTCTACAATATATATATATATATATATATATATATATATATATATATATATATATATATATATATATCATTTAATTTAAAAAAAAACAGACCACTTTAAGGCTTCCTTAGTTATATTTTTTCACCAGAGATTTTATTTTTCTCGGATCTTCAGACTTCATTTTAATGGCGAAAAAATTAATTTAAAATTTACACTTTTGAAGGGCAGTATTAAGCTTATATTAGTTGACATAGAGTGTGGTGAGGAATAGTGTAGGATACATGGTCGCGTTTAGAGAGGGAAGGGAGAGTTTTAGAATTATTTTTGTTTTTATTTTTATTACAATACTTAATATTGGGGTAGAGGGGGTAAGGATCAGACATTGACATTTTTAATCGGTCAACTCACCGGAAATGATATAGGAAAAAAAATATATATATATATATATATATATATATATATATATATATATATATATATATATATATATATGAAAATAATAGTAATGAAACCTTGTGTTATACGTAAAATTATATAATGTATATAAACTCGAAAAGAATACTTATGGTATAAATTGCTTAATATCAAGCATAGAACCTATGTAAATATTAAAGTGGACATTAAAGTCAAACAGAGGCGACAGTCTAGTCCATGCTAAACTCAATCGTCATCTTCTTCTCTACCGTACGCCAACGGCTTAGGAGTAAAATCTCCGACTGATGCCTATTCAGCCGGATTTCAATCCTAGCCAGCGGCAACCGGACGTCTAGTCACACTGTTGAGCTGCAATAGAGCGAAACAGTCTGTCTGTGGATGGCAATATATATATATATATATATATATATATATATATATATATATATATATATATATATATATATTTCCCTTGCAGACTGATTTTTGATGCTGTGTCTGTGGTGATATATTTTACTCATTTTTTGAGTTGTAGGTACCATATTTTCACAGGGTTGCTCCCAAGTATTTCAAGCCCCACACCTACCATTATCAGTCCCTTCAATCGTCGGGAGCTACCTAAGGGACAGAAGAAACAAACAACCCCCTCCAGGATGATCTGTTGACGGTTGAGTTCCGGCATTTTCATATCCGTCAACTCTTTCATGTTGTCTTCAATAGAGAGGGTTTTATCCCGTGTGGCGTGGCCATGTTCCAACGCTTAATATTGGCGAGGACAGATTCATGTCGGTCAACGAGACTTCGACTTGTTCCATATTCGTTTTGTGTTCCACGTAGTCGATGTGGATAAGCTTTCTCAAGCATTTCTCCTCGAACACCTGAATTATTTCTCTTGAAACAATCAAGTGTGTCCAAGACTCATACCCGTAGAAAGGGATGGATACGAGCATCGATTTGTAGATCTTGGACTACATATAAAAGCTTATGTTACTCGTCCATATCCTTTTCAGTCTGGACATCGCTCCAGTGGCTCTGGCGATCCGTGTGTCGAGTTCTGCGTTGCTTTTGACAGAGTGGCTACCAAGTATTTGAAGCCGTCTATGCTGATTCTGGCACCGATGTTAGTACTATTCCCAATTATTTTGTATTTCTCTTTATTGAGTTCCATATGCGCCAGCCCTTTCAACGAGTTTATTGGTTAGGTCTCGCTTACTGAACAGGATTAAAATTCACAATGGTGCTTCTCCGATCCGACAAACTGTGTAGACAGGAACCCAACTACAAGGACAAAGAGAGGACACTTTGCTACCTGGAATTCCGTATTGAACATACAAGACTAACCCTTGTACACCTGATAAAACCTGGGGATGTATTTCGATGCACCCATTACAATCATAGACTGACCGGCACATTCTCATAATGTATATAATGCCTATGTTTATAAATATATAATAATATAAGTGAATATTGAAGTCAACACTTAGAGGCGACAGGCTGTTTCATGTTAGACGCAATTGTCAGACTTCACGATTCTGTCTAGCCTCTAAGTGTTGACTACACTGTTCACTTTTATATTTACACACGCTCTATCTCTGATATTGAGCACTTTATCCCATAAATACAGCACACCTTAAGACTAGATTTTTCATATATATATATATTATATATATATATATATATATATATATGCAATTTTTATAAATATTATTTACATATTGTATATGGGCGGTACTTTTGGAAAAGCGCTCAATATCAGTGATAGAGCTAACATATTTAGTTGGATTAATGTGAGTTTGTGACCCTGATTTTCACCCTTTGACATCGTCTGACGATCGCAAAGGGCGTGAAAACCAGGGTGACAAACTCACATCAATCAACTATATATATATATATATATATATATATATATATATATATATATATATATATATATGCAGTTGAGTTCATTACATTCAATTACGTACTAATAACTTTGGTAAAGGTATGAATCATACTTGTCTCTCCTTCCACACTATGGGTAAATAGCCTTAGATGCCGACTTGTCTAGGAGAAGGAAAAATCTGAATTCAAAACCAGCCTGGAGGTGGCTGTCTTGCACAGGAAACATCCCATGTACTGTGTCTAAGGCCCTAATTTGATTACCTGACTCATGATCATTTTCATGATTATAATTTGGAATTACATTTTCTTTACTATGATTTGTCTAATGTGTAAGTATTATACACACTTTTTAATAAAACAAGAATTGGGCGTCTATTCCAGATACGAAGTGTACTCTATAATAACATATGAAGTAATGTACTAATTTGTCAAAGCAGAAATAGAATATCATGCCGTAACGGTATCTGCTAAGAGGGTCGAGGCCTGCACGTCTTGAGAGGTTGGTCAATTTATCAACCCGATAAAAAGAAGTACTTCTTGCTAGCATCTGACATAATATGGAAGGTCTACAAGTTTCGGCGCGAGACCAATTTATCAAGAAGAAAGCGAAAAAACATAATACGTGGAGGCATATTTTAAAATGTAAGATTCCAAGAAATTTATGTGTTAAGCCAGTCTTTCGCAAGCGTAGTGAAAATGGCACCATGGCAGCATCTTTCCGTGTGAAACGTACAAGAAGACGTGTGTAGCCAATTTATCAAAACAGACGAAACGTACTCAGTGTCAGCATACGTTAAGATGGGTGAAGGCTAAAAGGCGAGGCGTCTAGATAATTTTTCAAAACAAGTGTAAAAATTTCCTTCGTTGGAACATCTGCACGAAAAGTTGGAAGGTTTTCCCATATTTTCTTTTCAGATGACGCACAAGCACGCACACAAACACATGTGCGG